CATCCTTTAACTGTTGGTTTATGATTATAACCGATATCCATCAACCATGAGGAGGTTTTTTGGATATGAATTGAGTGATATTTGAAAAAGTAGTATTTGAAGTTGAAGTTGAAAAATGGAATTTGAAAGTTGAAGTTGTCAAACTTCATATAGGATTCATTAGAAGATCGGTGAACATCCTTTACATTTATATGATCGCGGGTACTTATCTAACAACTAATGTTGCTTTGAGCAGTCAGAAGGACCATATATGTTGAAAAAAATGATGTTCTCATGGATTCTGCTGTACTGTTCATATGGAACGGAATACTAAGTGCAGGAAAAGGATGCAAACTATTTTACTGTAACGTATGTGATTTATCGCTGCAGTTTGCTAGACAACATACCACATAAGGAATTGAAACGAGATCAAATGATTCGGAAGGCAAGCCAGTGTTTTCACCGTTTGCATGTATCCAGCTGATAGGATTCTTTCTCTGGTTTCTTTTCTTTTCTTTATATTGAGCAACAGAAAGAAAATAAGGTGAAAGATCCAAACCCTGCAGAAGACGATCATAAGTCAGAAAGATACCAAATATTTAAGATTGACCAAATCATAGTTATCAACAGTAAACTTTAGTTTAGATGCATTTAAGGAGCTATTACAATGTACGGCACTATCTAGTCTTCTCTTTCTCTTATGCAGATGATTATAAATGTTTGTTCTTACTCACAGTCACTTTAGCAGAAGGAAATCTGTCTGCAAGGTATCCAGTGCTCACACCAACCGAGCATCCAATGTCAAGAATGTCTCTGATTGAGAAATCTGCTGAATATTGCTGATGATGTTTTTCTATTGCATCAAGCCAATTTCCGCGGACTATCTGGTTTGCTTCATCAAGTGAAGATGCATTAGGAATTGCACGTCTCACCATTGACATAGTTGCGGCGTCTGCTTCAGCTGCAGCCTGCAGTAGTAAATTAAATTTCACTCTTTTGTCCATGCAATAACAAAAATGACACTTCTGGAGAAGTTTTCCCTTCTTTCATTCTGATCTCGTGCGATAGAGATGAAGTAAGGTCTAGTCCTTGAATATTTTTATCACAGATAGTGAGAACAAGGTCTTCCCCTGGTGGATTTAGCAACGCACCACTGAAGTAGTAACTTATACTCCCCCTCAGGATGACTAAGAAAGAAAGTGTTTTATAAAATGAAATGTAGGGAGTACAACGTATACATCAAAACATCCGAAAACATATATAGAAAGGAGTGGGTCAAAAAGAATGATGGAAGTAAAACCACGTGATGCCTAGAATCAGTCAGTTTATTGGTTAAAAGTTGTAGGCATACTAGTTCCCTCGACAAAAATACAGCAGTTGGACAAACTTGAACTTTTAAGCAGCTTCATAACCAAATGAAATCAACACTAGAACCATAAGCAGATAATCCGAAGTACATATCATAACCTCAATAACTTAATCATCAGAAACAAAAGAAGCCATAGAAGTACAGATAACCAATGAACTACAAACAAAAACCAAGAGCCATTTCAACCTAGATGACTTGACCAATAGAGCTCAAATGTAAAGAAGTTATGGCCTAAACTCAGAAGAAGTGTTAGATTTTAATTCTTACCAGCCAGGACAGGTTCCCCTCATCATACGCGTGGAAAGGATTGAGATAATCTGGAAGAAGAAATCATGTGTCAGCCAGTTGGTCTTTTTGAAAGGGTGATCCAGTATAGTAAAAAATTCAAAAGAAAAGGTTGTGAAGTTCTTAAACACAGATTCTAAGAGGAGTTTGTGTTACGGAGGACAATGGCTAGGCCTACGTCCCCCTCCTCACGGAATAATTTTTCAAGCTAAGAGAATATTCATCTAGAGCTAATAGTTTGAAATAAGGTGATTCCTTAAGGAAAAGATGGATCTACAATTGGTAAAATTCAAACCTTTCAATGTCACCTGAAATGAGACGTTACGAGGGCTTTTAATAATCAGCAGGAGCTAAACACAGACATCTTAGAAAAATAGCTATGCTAGTTATGCTATTTTAATCTAGAAAATGGATTGTACATAAGGGATAGATTTGAAGCAGCAAGTTGTATTACTATGACAAATTGATAAGACTACAGATACAGATAACTATGATTGTGATGTTTCCAATCTCTGAATGTCATAGCACTCACACTCCATATTACACTCAGGTTCCCGTTGTTATTGGATAAGTCACTAGTAATGGCGAGTCCAAAAGTGCAAATTTGCTTCCAAAATACATGGTTCCCTTCTGTATTTATCCTGTTCTCTTCTTAAACCTCAAACGAATTACAAAAAGCAAAAAAAAGAAAAACGATCCTCAAATGCTGAAATTATCAGCTTCTGCTTATTTGTCTTCTCCCTGACTTGGACTAAAACCACTGGCCTTGGCCAGTTAAGTTTTGCAGCCACTAAAAGTAAAGTTGAGTAATTCGCTGAACATTTACAGTTGCAGGTAAGCTGATTAGAGCAAATCAAAGGATTAAGGAAAAATATAAAGACAATGACATTGTAATAGTAACAAATGAATTATCTTTTGAACTTATAAAGTAACTCCATGCCCAATTGGTAGAGCACATCCACCTCTAATCATAGATTAGGCTGTTGAGTAACCAGAGGTAAAATGAACGCCTTGGAACAACTCGATGAATTTAGTACTGTCGTTTAGGAGGCCCTAATAACTATAGATTGAAGCTATCTAATTTTATGGTATGATGGTTGATTTTCATGGCCTAGTTGTCCCTACCGTCTTTTCTTTTAGATCAACAAGACTTTTCTCTTATTTGGTATGCCGCTCCACAAGCAAGGAGTGCAAGGCATGAGTGGAGCAAAAAGAAAGCAAGGGAATTCTTCTCTATTTTGGGAAGAAATCCTTTGATTGCATACTCAGTACAGATACTTTGACTTTCTTGTTCCACTGGTTAGAACCATTTTTAGGCAGGGTTACGAAAAGGAAAAAAACGCTAAAAGAGGTTTCATAAGAAACTCACAATCAGGGTAGACAATAGCAGGATTCTCAATGCTCTCCAACTCTTTGTAAACATCCGAATTCAGTATCTCCTTTGTCATCTCTGTCCATGGAATATTAGTTTTCTCAGCTGTACTGTTCAAAACCCCACTAAGTCAGATCAATTCACTTTCATTCTAAGAACTTCTCAAGAAAATATAAATAACATCAGAAATACAAAATTTTGTCACATTCTTCAAATAAATGTATATAAGTAAGTTCTTATATATATGTATTGAGCAAACAAAGTTCTGAGTTCAATTATGTACTTTGCAATTTTCCAACTTGCATTGTCATGTATTTGTCTTTCCTACCTGAACTATCACCAACTATTTATCAAAACACACCTCGAAGCTAACTAAACTAAGTATTTTAATACAATCATCAAAAGCCATATAACAACTTGATTTCCCCATAAAATTTCATTCACATGGCAGCTGACTTATTAATTTCACAGCGTGTTTTGATAAATAGTTGGTGATAGCTCGAATAGTAAACGCAAACGACTCATAGTTTAAGTAGGAAACTCTCAAAAAATAAAAATAAAATTGGCAATAGTTTATTTGCTAACTTAGTCAAGTTCTGTATTGAGACAATTCAACAAACAGATAGTGTGCATCAATGAAAGTAGTAGAAATGACCTTATGAAAACCTGTCTAGCACCGAGTTTGAGTATAGAAAATAGAGGTTTGATGGAAATGAGAGTTCCAACAAGACGTGAAAGTGGAGTTTCCCCTGACCATCGAGGTCTTTCAAGTTGTCCTTCTTCAAATACCTCTGCACTTCTACTACTACTACTACTACTACTCGAAGAAGAAGAAGAAGAAGCAGAGAGTTTAAAACCCAAAATTCGTCTTTTTGCTGCAATTTTCAGTAATGGGTCATGGATTGAATTGTTGGTAATGGTGAAGAAACTGGGATTTGAAGTGTTAAGCTTGAAGCTGAAAGCCATTTTTGCAGTTCTTGAAACAGAGCAGTTATTTTATTTTTTCTAACTGAAAATTATTTCAACTAGCTTTTTTTTTCTTTTTCTTGTGGTTTGAATTGAAACACTTTGGCAAAATCTTCAAAATCGAAATGGACCAATGAGAAGAGACCACGTGTACTTTCATACTTCTATACGATAAACTTCGACATCAAACTCTTAGCAAGACTATCAAATATATCGGTATTAGAGTTGACATCGAAATATTATAAAGCTTTGTATTTGTGTTAGAGTTTTTGGAGATTAATAAAAATATGTTACTCTTGTTGATCAAATTTAATTAAGCAAAAATTGCTCTCGTTGAGAGTCGAACTCAAGACCTCCCGCTTACTAAACGGGTGCTCTAACCAACTGAGCTACGAGAGCTGCTTGTTCTATGCTTTTATCATATATTACTTGACCAAACCACTTATTTATTTTGATTTTTTCCCACAAAAGATGTATTTATTACCAAATTAAATACCGATGAAAGAAACTCATGAGATTTTCTTACCAAGGACATATTTGTTACCAATTTACTATCCCTATTTAGTTTTCAACTTTAAAATATTATGCTAACTCCCCAAATATAATAAATATATTTTCTAGTTCCAAAAAACATGCATTACAACTTAATAGTACTAAAAATTTTCTAGAATTAAATAAGGGCATATTAGAAAAAAAAATATTGTCATGTTATACACCAAGTGCCCGTGCGTGTCATCATTATGGTATTTGCTTCACTACAACATATTTCTTTTTCTAACATTGATAATCATTCTCTGGTCTTTACTTGTGGGATTGAAACATAATTGTTGATGTTTTTTCCACAATAAGTTCAACAATACTTAGATTACACCCCCTCAATGCACCAAGACACTAAAGTTTCCTGTTTACTTTTGAAGGCTATCTCAGGAGACATGTCTACTTTAGACACGCAAGTCACGAAATTACATATTTAATCAATCTATCATGACTAGCAAAAATAAAATTAAGCTTTTGGGGTAAAAGAAAAGATGAGAACCATAACTAAGTTACTTTAGATAAAAGGTTAAACTTGTCAGAAAGAAAAATCAACAAGATCCTCATACAGATGTGCCATAATCAAACTGTCAATGAAAACTCAACAAAGCAAAGAAAGTTAGTTCCACAAGATCCTTAAGATAGTTGTAACATTAAATCCATCAGTGCTTTCTTTCCTGACAGCTAAATTTTGTCGACGTTCGAGTCGTGAAGAGAGTTTATTCAACTTCTTGTAGGTAATCGTCGATTTCAGCTGGTGTGAGAACTCTGCAAAGAAATGAACCAATAGCTTATTAACCAACCAGCTCATATAAAAAAAAATCATCCTCTGAGTTGAGGACAAGAGAACACTTGCCTGAATACTTTGTCATTGCCAATGATGCCGATCTCGATGTTTTTTCCGGAGATCTGCCCCTCAAATCTGAATGGATACACAAGGTAACGATTATTGTTGAAGATTAAAATATTCTGGTGTAATGCAGTGAGCGAGCAGTGATTAAGGTTCAAGTGCATGACAATTTCTGTGTATCCTACTTTTGAGATGACAAACAAGGGAACTCGTGTTTTGATTCTGATGTTAAGCAACGAATCAAAAATAACAAAGGGGATCAGATCATCCGAATCACATCCTTTTACAAGGAAAGTCAGGGATGTGAAGGAACACATTGTAACACGGGGAGAAATTCGACTACAACAACAAGATGAACGTGAAAAAAGTTGAGATGCTTACCCCTCCTTCAGGGTCAGTATAGCAGTGTGTACAGCGTCATCAAGTTCCAATTCCTCCGTGTACCTGGCAGACACTTGAATATCAATTTTGAAAGCAAGTAAAAATTCACCAGTAAACATAAAAGCCACTTCAGATTGGCTATTAGTTGGCAAGTAACATGATAAGTCATTTTTTATTGGAACAATGTGGGCAACATTTTACAGGTCGAAAAGGAAAAATACTTCACATCCTTCTGGCCTCTGGGGCTAAGAGAGTTTCAACAATTCTAACCACCAGTGGCTGATACTATCAGCCAGCAATTAGCAAAAGCTCACTGGTGAACGCTTGTTTCAGGAACATCATCAGTTATCACCACCTCTTTCATGTGAAACTTGCAGCTTTATTATCCCATGAATTCATAGTAGAGACTACCCTAGACCACACTCTGTTACCCATTTTCACCACCCTCCGACCCGTATCTCATCATAAAGGTTGTTGAGAATTACACATAACACACTGAATCCTTACTTGGTGATGGCACATTGAAGTGTAATAAGAATCAATGAATCATAATGGATGATAACTGATGAGATTAAGATGATTCAAATTTATTAACCAAGGGCACAAGGAATCTTTTACTCGAACACTTGCAAGAATACAAAGAGAGGATATAACTGACACACTAGGCTCTGCTGGCTGTCTTCTACTCCTAAATTATACCTAACTTAATTATTGTAAAATGATGCAGGTTCCTTGCTCACCAGTTTTACCTCCACAACTAATACAAAGTTATACTCACACTATAATATATAACCAAAATGTGTTACCTATGGAGAATGTTGCCACAGCAAATCAAATGTCTCAACCACTTTCCAACTTCTGGTTAAAAAACAGAAGCACAAGGATATAATGTGGTATTAAGAACATGAATAGTTAAAGATGGAGAATGTTTATTGCCGAAAAAGGATTATGTGGAATTGGATGGTTGCGGGCATTATCAGAAGTTAGTATAGTGTTATGGGATATACCAAAAATTTGCAGAGTTCAATTCACAAAATAGTGACCAAGGAGAACCTTATTACTTCTAATGGTATGTTCTATAACTCGATCTGTGTTTGAAGTGCAACTTTTGGAATAGAGTACCTGTGGTTGGAGTACAACATAATTCCATAATAACTTACCTCTTCTCTAGAAATGTCTTTGCATTGGACACATTCTTCCCCATAGCAGAGGCCTTCCAAGAGAAGTAAGAACCTGATGGATCCACCTAAATGAGAAAAATAAACTGAATATTTAAACATTTCTAGTATCATAAATAAAGACCCCTTATAGGTTAAACAGGTCATACAAAGAGGTGTTCTCTACCATAATCAAGTGAGAGAAGTAACAGGTGAAGCATGGGAATGAATGTATAGACCAAACAACATTAGGTAAGTAGCTCATATGCACCATAATAACATTAAAGGACAGAAAAAGACAAGTGAACACCAGAACAAAGAGGTAGATAATATACCTGATACAGTTGAGGACCCTTGTCATCATACCCCGCAACCAAGAGTGAAACACCGAATGGCCTTACACCACTGTATATAGAAGAAAAAGAAAAGGAATAGATAGAATTAAGAGATTGCAAGAATAAGACTACACAGGATGACTCCTCCTTGTGTATCTGACATTAAGAATCACAAACTGTTAAAGAATCAAGGAAATCTAGTTTAGTTTCATAACATGAGCAGCGTGCTTTCCAACTGATACTTTGAAACCCAAGCAAAACAGAGAATGGAGAAGTGGAATAAATACTAACGAAGAACACAGAGAACCGAGAACACAAGAAGGTAAAAATTGTAGCAGTATTTTCACTCTCTTCCCTTCTCACATGATATTCACATACAAGATAAAGCTGCTGCTTCTTTCCAAAATTTTTACTACCAACACCAACATACAAGTTTTAAAGATTGCATTCCTTCAACTACAACTGTGTAAACAAGGTTCCACTAAAAAATGAGGGCAACGATGCTTTCAATTGATTACACACACTACAGTACGGGCCATTTTTTCTACCATTTGAGGCAAATATGTATCACCATATTAGCCAAAAGCTCCCACATTTAACAATAGTAGCAAAGCAATGTGCTTAATGAATTTCAATGGTGTCAAATCAACTAATAATAGGCCGACTTCCTTCGACCTTTACCAGTAAATATATCATAATGATGATTGACCATACTACTAAGAGAGGCCAACCACATCACTTAAATAAGAAAAATATCAAAGTTAATGTTTGACAAGCCACAAAATGTGTCATTCAGCCTCATAAGATAATAACAACAGAAATAAAACGACTTAAAAAGAATAAACAAGTAAATGATGCAAATTGCTAATATACAACACTCCAAGTTCAGTGAATTATGATATGAAACAGCAGTTACCCTGATTGGGTGAATTCCTGCATGACAGCAGCAGTTTCCCTCACCAGTTGTGTGACAGGTATAGGTTCCTATATAAAGACACATTAGGCAAAAATAGTATATATAAGTTATGCTTAAAGAATCAACATCTAACAGGCCTGATGCAACACCAGTAATATTACATTTAGTTGAAAAAGGACACAACAACAACTACTATGCACATATCCCTAACGAGTTGGATTGGCTTTATGAATCTTCACTGACCATACTTCTCCTAGTTGAAAAAGGAAAAAGGAGGAAAAACACACATCTGCTCCCAGAAAGCAAGGGAAAAATGTACTCTTGACAACAACAATATCAAGATAACATACTCTCATATACTCCTTCAATGTCCTAATTATGTTAAATGTTAATTTTTAAGATAATTGTACCAAATACCAGCATACTGGTTAGGATATCATATCACACAGAAACTCCAAACACAACAAAAATTAATCTTAGTAATGGTAAAAACGAATTCATACTTTATAGAGTCGATAATATTGCTCAGCCTGCTTTCTACTTTTTCGCACCAAAACTCGAGAATCAGGGCCCATGCCGCTGCAACAAAGATCACAAGTGTCAATCAAGAATATGCCTTGCCCACTAGAAAAATTGAGGAATGTAAAATTAAATATGTGCAAGCTGGTTTCATCAAACTAAGGAGCTAAGGTAGGGAGAATATGCACAAAATCACATTTTCACTGCTCATTATAAATAATATTGAATTGGGATGATTAATTGAACTTGCACATTCTTTTCATGGAAATTCTGCAACTGAATTCCATGATCTATCAATTGTAAGTGTGATTCACTGGGTCAAATGTGAATAAACATCCAAGAGCCTCACCTCAATTTTTTATATAGTTGAAAATAAAAGTTCATTTTATTGAAATGAATCTCTAGTCATTTCATGGTTGACCTTAAACATGTGAGAATAGAAACTGTGAACTAGGTCAATTATTAAGCCAACAAAAGAGCTCACCCACCACAAAGAATGGTCATTCAAATCTGAAGACAGTTTCACATAAAACTCTAGCCATGTTCACCGCACATTCTCATATCCTGGAATGTGAAGAGGATAATTGGAGCCAGCAAATATAAAAGGATCTCACCTGTAAACTACTCCAATATTTGGTGTCAGAGTCTGAATCTTTTGCACCTGAATTATACATATAAAAGAGAGGGTAAGAAGATGGTTACTATGAGAAGTGTTAAGGGATATACATCGAAAAAGTGAGAAATTTATTGAATTAACTATGAATTCCAAAACAAAGCAGTTGTCACGATGCTTACTACTAAAGTACTAATACAAACAAGAAAACAGGAAGAAGGAGATCCACAGTTCTACAGTAAAGAGAAGAATCATTTAAGACCAACAACCATGACTTTGAATGCACGTGCTAATATGTTGAACGCCGGTATATCAGATATTTGGGGACTTATTCTCCATAGCAGTTACAATCTTAACATCTAAGAAATTCCTACTGACTGGTTACTAGAAATAAACACAAAAATATAAGTTCTTTTTTTTAATGACAAGGAAACCGCAGCCGCTACCCTTTGGTTGTGTACAGGGTAAAACTCTCGCTCCTATGCAATAGTTTGCAAACCACACAGGAGAGGTAACCCACACTAGGCAAGCCGAGTTCGACGAGCTCGACCCAGAAGACAAACCCTTGCTTTCGCTGGCAAGGGGTTTCGAACTTGAGACCTCCAACATGGAAGCCCAAGCCCAAACCACTGAGTCACCCCAAGGATCAAAACTATAAATTCTAGCAATCTAGATGAAACCATAAAGAGGTCACACCACTGCTTTGTCAACAACAAGTACAATCAGTCAGGACTCATGAGTAGACAGTGAAGGATGACCTAAAGAGAAATACTTACAGATGTTTCATCAACCAGAATGGATGGTAGTTTCTTCTCAGTTGCAATTACAACACCATTAGCGGCTGCAATCATCCAATTATAAATGTAAAAATCACTATAAGAACTAAAAATTTATTGTCAAATAAAAAAGAAAACACAATTATCCAACTTAACTACAAGAATCCTTTTTATGATTATAGCAGGATACATCCATCACATTACAAATGTACACTCTTGACTAAATGAAAGGCCTCAAACAGGATCTGATAGCATCATCTATATCCATTGAGATCCAAATCAATTATAATTAGTAAAACGGACAAGACCTAATTTGAAATAATCAAGAGCTACCATCTCCAGCATGCTCTAAATAAATTTATTTGTGGATTTTTGACTTGACACTGACCAACATAATGGCTGGAAGAATTGGAGATTGCTAGTTTTCATACACTCAAGTATCTAGAGACATGAAAGATCCCTTTATTATAACTTGAGTTACCTTTGATCCCCAGTGATGTTTGACCCGATCCAACTGCTGTCAAGGCATGTTCAATCTGAACCAGCTTTCCAGATGGACTATTGCACAACAAACCATGTTTAGAGAAATTGTAGTCAAAGGAAGAAAAGGTATGTATAGATTGATATGCATATGGTGCTCCCATAAATCCCTACCTGAAAGTAGTAAGTGAGAAAGAGTATTGACTATCACCCATTGGATTATATGCTAGTCTTCAATAGAGACCCTGAAAAGTAACGAGCCAAGGGAAGGCGCTATTAGAGATTGGGAGTCATTGACTTAATTCTGGGTCTGTCCAATTTACTTTAGATGTTGAAGAATCATTCTGAACCATGAACACAAAATTAACCAAAACTGCAAAGGACAAGAATCAATTGCCAAACATTTCGTACTTCTCTAATTCTCTATCTACATTTTGTATTTTCCCAATTATTTAGTATAACGGTCAGCTTGTGTACATCTCGACATATCACAAGGCCACCTGCTATAGCCTACCATAGATCTTTAACCAGTAAGGGAACTGATTTTTCTCCTCTTTTTTTATTTATAAAGAACCACCAAGGGAATCGCATCCCAACGCTAGCAACAAAACATAGGTCAAATAAGTAATTCACTGTCTACTACCAGAGTGAACTTAGATAAGATCTGCTAGACAGTGTAAGGGTGTTCAATATTCCTCATTTTTATAAGGTATATAATCATATACACTTTCAGGAAAACCAGAAAGATGGAGGTAGGAATAAAGAGCTCAAACCCCACCAAGTTTCCTCTTTATCCTTCTAACTACCATTTTATGGGGAAAATGGAGAAACCTAGAAAACAAAAGAAACTCCATTCCAAGTTCCTCGATGTAGCTCCAAACAAGGTACTAAATAAAGTATCAATCACAAATTTATTATTTGAAACAAACCAGCAAACCTAAGTATGTCAACAATAGAAAACCCACAAACTAACAATGCTAAGTTCGTGATGATAGCATCAGATTCATAACTTAAGCCAAAGATAGATAAAACTAGATTTCATCTCAAATTAGGATATTTTTCTAAAATGCAGAAATTAAAAACGGGGTAGGAGTAGGGAGCTCAAAACCCTACCATGTTTCATCTTTATCCTTCAAACTACCATTTTATGGAGGAACTAGAGAAAAATCCAGCTTTCCTAGTTCCTCTCAGTAGCTCTAAACAAGTTGCTAAATAAAGTACCAATTGACAAATTTATCATTTGAAACAAATCAGCAAACCTAACTATGTCAACAATCGAACACTCACAAAATAACAATGCTAAGTTCACAACAACAGCATCAGATTCATAATTTTAGCCAAATAAAGATAAAATACGATCAGAATCAAGTTCAAATCAATTTCACTGACTACTTAAGCGACTTTAACAGCGAGAATGCGAAAATCAAACTAATGAAGCGTAGAAGAGAGAGATAGAGAGATGTATAACCAGATACCGGCAGCAAATCAAACGGATTCCGACGAGGAGCACCGGCGAACGAGCAGTACAGTTTTTTCGAAGCAAAAAATAGTGAAAGCGGGTCGAGTGTGGGAGCGGAAGTATACTTTGGGCTACAAATGGCCCTTTCTACTTTATTTCTTTGTTTTCGTAGGGAAAAAGAAATTTAATTTTGTCCTCCTTTATTTATTTATTTTTAATCAAACAATTAAATTAAATCAAATCAAAATTGATGCGTATACATGAGTTTGATATTTTGATTCGATTTCATTTTGATCTTAAATCGTTAAATTAGTTTGATTTTGATTCATAATCGATTCAAACAAATTCTATAAATATTTTTATTCACGTGTTAATTCAACGTTAACGTTCCTAACATCTTTAATTATAAAAATAAATAACAATAAACAATGATAGATGTGGTTGATATTGATTAATAATATCTTAATGAAATAATATAAAATTTGAGCGAGATTGAAGGTGATTTATATTGATTCAAATTTCATATTTAAAATTTGTCGATATAACATGTGTATATCACATTGAATATTGTATATATCATATTCAAATATTCACATATATAGTGAGAGAGAGGAAATAAATGGATATACATTTGGAATATACACAAATAAAGTCATTTGCAATCAATAAGAGGAAGTTGCTTAATAATAAGCGTACTCTAGTTTTAACTTTAAAATTGTGCGTTTGAGTCATTAGAGAAGGTCAAAAATATATATATATATATAAACTTTTATAGAACGATTAAAAATAAAGTTATTTGTAATGTCAAGTTTTCAGTTTGGAAATCAACTTAAATTTGCCTCAAATTAAGATCCTACTAAACATTAAAACTTCATGAAATATTTTCAATAAAATCAGATATATTATCCAAATCAAAAAAAATCATAAATTTGCAATTTCAAAAGCAACTAACTTATCTATAGTCTTTATTAATTAATGTCTCATGTCTTTTTTTTCCTAATACATGCGTTCATCATATATTTGATCTTAGGATTGTAAGCTTGTTTAAAAATAAAAATATACCTACATAGTTATAACGAGCTTGTTAGATCGATAACTTTATTTCAAAATTTATAACATTGAATTGAAAGTTTGAGCTATTAAGAAAATCATAATCTTATTTAATGAATTTTAAATATTGAATATAATATTATCAATGAAGAACCGATAAAGATGCACAAATTTGTGCTCATGGGGCTATAGTTACCAAAGAAAATCAACATAAATTGTCCAACAACAACAATAAGAAAGAAATTTGATTATATATAGCTTGTTATTTAGTGGATCGGTCGAGTTTTAGGTATAACAATTTATTTGATAAGAGTATTTTTTTATCTAAGTGAATTAAAATTTTCTGACGTGAATTTAAACTTAAAATTTTTTTTAAAAAATTCCTCTTGATATGCATGCTAAACTTATATTTATATATAGTATATTGAAATATCATTTTACATTCTTCTCTTTCGTGTCTTTCTTGAAAATATCAGTTTGGGGAAACTTTATTGCTCAGTATTCCCTCTGTCTTCATTTACTTGTCCACTTTTGAAAATTGACATATTTATTAAGAAAATAATTAATGACGTAGTGAGTTTACAATTTTACCCCTATTAGTTATGATATTTTCAAAGTAATTAGTCATTTAATTGAGGATATAATAGGTAAAAAATTTATCCTTTCTTGATTTGTCAAAATGAACAAGTAATTAATGACAACTATAATAGAAAAAAATGAACAAGTAATTAGGGACCGAGAAAATAATAAAATTACTTTATTTAACCAAAAAAAAAAGAAGATAAACTTTCAATTAATTGGCCTAGTAAATAGAAAAAAACTCACTTGTATAAAAGAGTTTAGAATACACAAACAACTTTTAAGGCCTCTATAGAACAACATTATATATAATAAAGTAATATTAATTTTAAAATGATTATTGCTAATGGTGACTCTGATTAGCAATAAAACTCTTCCACTTTATGTAGCAAATCCCTTTTATCCACGCAAAATCCTGCTCATGAAATGTAATAATTATATTAGTAAAAATAAGAATTTAATTTAGATAGACCGAGTGACCGACTATATAAAAGTTTTATTTCATTAATAAATAATGCATCCTTAGAACAAATTGTTATTCTACTTTTTAGGTTATGATAGTTCACAAAATTCTACATTGATAGCGCTCATGAATCCCGACTCTAAAAATAAAGAGTTTAAGTTATACATATATACATGGACGATGTGAAAAAAAAATTACACCATATAAGTTTGTCTCCTTACAATATGTTAATTTGTAATCTTTTAATAAGATAAATTAACTACTATAATAAGTTAAGGTAACATAATATTTCTTATATTAATGATGTTTAAGACTTATATAATTATGTTCTATGGATTTAGAAAGAATACACATGCATATATGTATGACCATTAAAATAGAGTTAAAGTTATATATACAATAATAAACAAGTTTTAAAAATTAACAATATAAGTAGACATTAAATAATTAATTTCGAATTTAGTAAATCAAATAAGTTAAATCTCAAAATTTTCACCTAGCTCAATGGAAAATCTCTATATGGGGATGATTACTACTCAAAAAGCAACAGATTAATAATAATTAAGCTGCCCTTGATCCAATTTTAAAATGCTTATATATTTGTAATATACAAACAGCTTGTTTAAACATTAATTTCTGTAAGGTGGTAAAATACTGTTATTCTACTTATAATTAACCTTCCCCATTCGATATTCGATATTTACTTTTAAAGTTCGACTAATTTAAATTTACGTCAGAAAGCTTCCCCTCACTCTGGTAGTAAAACACTCATATCAAATGCAATTGTTATACTTAAAACTCGAATCCAAAACCTTTGATATTAAAGGATAAATGAGTAATTACTAGTAGTTCGCTACAACCTTAGCTTATAGTAGTATCAATTATTTACAGTACGATTAACATAACCGTTGGTGATAATTCCCTTCTATATGACTATATCATGTCACTATTGTCAAGAGTAGCTCGATGCACAAAGCATTTCGTATTTACACAGAGTTTAAAGTCCCTAAGGAATATGTCCTATACAAACATTAGCACGTATTTTTACGACTCAAATATATGACCTATATCTCATTATTGTTGTTACATATATTATTACACACAACAACAAAAAAAAAACTACCTGCATGTCATGAAGAAAATATTTATTTGAAAAAACCAATTATGCATGCAATATATATATATACATATATTTAATTTTTTTAAAAATGTACTAGAACAATCTGAGTAAATAAGTGTAATGCCCCACAAGATCCAATATACACAGTAAGCAATCTTGTAAAGATGCTAAAGGACAATTTTAAACATTATAATTCAGATGCAAAATTTCAAAATTTGTCCTTCAATAAGATGAATTTTAAGTGCTCATTAATGTGAGATTATATAACATATTAACTTAAATACTAATTAAGTTAAACAATTGTTTTTAATATCCATATGGTTTCTACGTACGTGAAATGTCTCAAATCATGAAATTTTCAATGAACAATATCCCATTTCTCATAAAGAATTATTTCGAATATATATCCTGAATCCTTTTCGATTAACTAATTTACTAACATCGTTGAAATATACACATTATATAATGCATCATTATATGTACACAACTATGTGTATATTTAGTATACCATATATGCTATAATATATTTTATATGTTTTTTTTAAACTTAGATGATTGAATAATTCAATCCAATAATTATCCCATAATAAAATGCAGGGTGCAGGGTGAACAAGAACCACATTGATTCATGAAAATATTTATGATTTTAATTTGTATCCACACATGGAATATAATTGTTCACACAATCAGATCAATATTATCAATAATAATAATAATAATAATAATAATAATAATAATAATAATGATGATGATAATAAGAGATAGCTCTCTAGTCTCTATAATTAATCTAATTTGATAATATATATAAGATATTTAATAACTCTTATAGTTATACAAATGCATGTTTAAGACACTATATTTTCAAATATTGTATAGTCGCATAAATATAATGATATATTTAGAAAATACGTTCTTACAAATTTATTAATTTTCCATTTGTAAACCTGGAAAAAAGAGCCACCTCTAGTTGGAGTTTTCTACCTCGTAGAATTTTTCGATGTAAATCCAAATTAATCACGCTTAATTACAAAAAAATAAAGTACCAAGTATCTGGGAATTGTTTACAGCAGACATATTTATTCATGGCAAAAAGTTAGGAAATTGAAGGGCTAAATTCTTGACCTTTGACTACTTCACATGTATCAAATTCTTTTTTCTTTTGTCATAGTTTTTAAATTTTCGAAAGTTGATCGTCAAAGAGTATGATAAGATAAATAGAATCTCTTCATTAATAACTAAAAACTTTTAAGGTGAGATGTAAAAATTAAATCGATACGGATAAAAAACGCTTCTCTCTTTAGTAGACTTTATGCGGCTTAAAAAAAATATATATAGCAAATATCTGAAGAGACTTTTTAAAAAATTGTTTTGCAAGACTTATATTTTCTAGGTAGTTTTAGTTATAATATTGAATTATGTAATAATCTCATTTAAAAGTTAAAGACTAAAAAATAATTTTTTTTCATTTTCTAATATTTGAACCAAATATATGTCATTTTTATTATTAAAGACGTAGAAATAGAGATTTGAACCCAAGTATATACCAAGAACTAGAGTTTTATAGTTGTATAACACTAGAATTAATTTCTAGGGTTTGAGTTTTAATACTTTTATCTCCCACTAGGTTATAGATAATTTCTTATCATCATTTGGAGATTGAAAAAACCTAATTGAATTTGGAAACGAATCCGAGATTTTCAGCTTATGAGTTTTTGAATTATAAATTTTTATCATGTTGCAAATTTTAGATAAATTATTAAATGGTTAAATAATTTTTTAAATCATAAAAAAAAATAGGTCAAAATTATTGATTCAATTCTGCTGAAATCATATATAACTTTATCCGTAAATTCTAAACATATCTTACTTCTCATATATATTATTAAAAAAAATAGACAAGCGATCGAAGTGACAAATTAACTATCTTAATGAAGTGGTAAAAGCATTGTGAAAGATTTTACCATTTTATAATCAAGAAAATGTGAGAAATCCTGGACAACTTGCATCATCATGATCTCCCTTACTTGGGCTATTAGCCAACTTCTTTTGTTTCTTCTTATAAGCAATGCCACGTGCCTTGGCTTGACACTCCTTAACTTCCCTCAAATAAACTCGAATCCCAACGCTTGCGAATGGGTTGGTCTCACTTGACCCACCGTTCTCTTCATAGGCAGCCCTAAGCCTGCCTATGAGCGCATCCAGGCTCCCCCAGGCTTGTCTCAATGGACAAGTACAGGGAGCTGGTGGGTCAGGTTGACCGTAGAACATACAACCCAGTAAGTGAACTTTTGTTTTTCCAAATTGGTCTAGGTATCGGAGGAACTCTAGGACGTGGTTGCTATGGCAATGGGGAAGAAGGATTGGTGGCCTTTGATTCTTCAAGTAGTGATTGAAAGTGTTCCAATCTCGTCTTTTCTGAGATTCGTATCGACTAGGGGGTTGATCACGACCTGGGGATCTTGACGATCCCTCGGCCAAATCTTTGCCCCTAATATCACTACTTGACATGGCTAGAGGGGGGGAAAATAGATCAAGATTTTGATCAAATTTGTGTTAAGTGTAATTGAGTGATACACAAAAAAGTTGAAGGAAAAAATAAGGTGAAAAAATTATTGAAATCATATCAATGGACCAATTGAGATAATGACAAGAAATAATGGGCCACATGAATTGCTTTCTTGGCTACTCCTTTTTTCTCATACATTGTAATTAGCCTCTTCTTTTCTTATATTTGTCTAAGTTACACATTTAGTCGATCGATAAAAGATATTTATAATAACTATAAAATAAATATATATATATGTATATATATATATATATATATATATATATATTGTAATTTTTTATATTTTATTCTAAAAATGGAAATTGGTTAAACATTTCCATTAAGTCATTAACTATACATTTTCTACTAATCTACAATTATTGTTATGTAACTTTGTCAACATTATCTACTAATCATTAGTTGCCCAACATTTTGATATCAATTAGTATCTTTAATTAATTTTAATTTATAATAAAAAGAGACAATGATTTATTATTAGCCCCATTCTATTACTCAAGTTGTATTTCCATTTATGTAATGGCTTGGTAGGTTGGAAATGCTTGATTTTATCAATTTATTTGGTTATTAGAGGATAATCTTGAAAAGTATATGTATAATATTTTTTTCATCCTCAATAGGAAGTTTGAGTTTGAGTTTATGACACGAAGTTATTTTTAATAGAAAGTGTTTTATCTATAGAGTGGAATTTTCTGATGTAAATTTAGAAAAGTATGGTCCCAAAGCTGGTATCTAACATCAGCGAAAAATCCAAAAAAAAAAAGTCACATCCATCAAAGTGAGATTTCTTGACGTGAATCTGAATTAGTTAGGGCCCAAAACAGATACCAAACATTCAGTGAAAAAATAAATTTAACACTACAATCTACATACATAATTTTCAAAACATAATGTATTTATAATCATCGAACTCAAATTACAACTTAGAATACGAAAAAACTTAGGTAAAAACAATATTAACTGAGGAGATAATACTAAGGGAGAAGGTAATCAAAAGGGAATGAGATACTAGAAACGAGAATGAAGATGAGAGATAACCGACAACCAATTAATTAAGCTTCAACATAATTTGGATATCCGTTCTTTCTAATTTTTACACCTTTTTAATAATAACTAATTAGACCTAAATCTCAAATAAAACTCTTTAATACTTTACTCGGCTCAATAATATTATAACTAAAATAGTCTTATTTACCCTCATATGTGAAAGATGTAATTTTAACTAGTGCAAACAAAAAACAAAATAAAAATAGTAATAGAAATGGTGCTATTTTAACAACAATTGTACTATTGTTTGACTAGAAAAAAAATGTTTTTGACTAAAATAATGGAAGACTAGATATATAAAGACCAATAAGTCTTCTTTAATACTCGAAGTTAATTGATGCATCCAAATTCAAACTAATTCACCTACAAATTTTGGATATTGAATAATTATTCATAGAAAAATATAGGATATATATTATAATCAAACCACCCTAAAACAAATTCAAGATTTGGATTATTAATTATGTATTCCAACAAAACAACTTCAAATGTTAGCAATGAGTTATGAATTTAATTTTTGTAATGGTGAATTTTTTTAATAATATGACATATATTAAATGATCGAATTTTACCAAATTTCGTACATTAAAACTTAGGAAAAAAGGCGTGAAAAATACTTCAATTTTGATTGGAATTGATGTTATGATACCAAATTTTATGAAAGACCTTTTACCGCTCTGCATTTTTTAAACTGTATTCTAAAGGTATATATATGTCCACTTAGACTCGCATTACTATTTAAAATGATGCAATATTTATGATGTTCACGTGAACACATATATAACTTTAAAATACAGTCAGATAATTTAGGGGATAAAAGGTTCTTCGTAGAGTTTAATATCGTTACAATAATTTTAACCAAAATTAAAATATTTTTCAGACTTTTTCCCGTAAAACTTATAAATATCTCCTATTGCTTTGCTTATTTGGAGAGAGAGAGAGATAAAAGTAAGGTAAGGTAGATATTGAGTATCTTTCCTATAATTGGAGCTTCTGTTTAGGTTTATGGGAGCAAGATCTTGATATTTGTATTTTTTTTTTGGTAAACAATTTGCTCGAAAAAAAGTATATTTTTTTTACTGACTAGGAGATATAAGAAAACTCATATCTGGCATGCCGGACAGTCTTATCTCATTAGAGTTACGTGAACCTCCACCCTTCCCGAAAGAATAATTTTGAAGTAATAGAAATGGTATGACATAATATAAAATTATAACTTTCAGAATTTATTATTTTTTTTTCTCAAACTCTATCTATTTTGAATCAAATAATTTTTTTTAAAAATATTTTGTGTATTATATTTTTATATTAAAAATATTGAATTCAATTGATCTGATTAAATCGAAAATATCATTTTTATCAAAAAGAGGGGTTGGGGGGGGGGACAAACCCACACCTGAAAGGTCTTTGGCTTTGTTTTGTGCATTTTGTTAAGAGACAAAGCATGTTTCATTGTCATATCACACTTATAAGAGGAAAATAGTGGAAATTGAAGAAAATGACAGAAAAAAGGAATCAATATATCATATTATTTTTTAAAAATTAATTTCATAAGTTACGATCAATTATGTGAATTTATTATGTTTTTATCTGTTAAGTTTTTTTAAAAAAAAATTATTTTAAGTCATCTTAAGTTGATAATAAATAAAGTTTAAGTATAGGTTTACTCAATGAGTTAATTCATCGGTGAGGTTTATGTATAATTTAAGTTCAGTATGATCTAGTTTTACTTTGAAAAAATAATAGAACATCATCTAATTATGCATATGATAATGATAATAGCTAATTAGTATTTAGCTGATATAGCACTAAAAAGAAAACAACAACAACAATAATAATAATAATAAATACTAGAATATATTTATTTGTTGGTTAAGTGACTCAAGCTTATTCTATTTATTAAAGGGCAACTTTCACATATAGCAAATAAAAAATTCATGTTTGTATGCTATAGGAAAGTTTGCATAATTGCGCTCCATAGAAAACATAGAAACTGTGTAATTTGATATATATATATATATACAGTTGAAATAAATTGTATAAAACGAAGTGTATAAAACACAAAAAGAGAAAGACACTTGGGCAGAGAACTGTATAAAAACGAAGTGTATAAAACGAATTGTATTATTATAAGTGTATAGAACGATTATATACAATTTGAAGTTGTATAAAATGAGAAAGATAGAAAGACAAAAGAGACTTGACAAGGAATATACAATTAAATCCAATTGTATAAAACGAGAAAGAGAGAAATTAGATACAATTTGAAAATTATATAAAATGAGAAATAGAGAAAGGTAAAAGAAACTGGGCAGGAGAATATTTTTATTGTATAATTATAAGTGTATAGGTCGAAAATATATGTACTTGCATGTGTATATACAATTTTCTCACGCTTTATACAAACAGAAACGCAATTTATAATTTTTGCTTCTGTTTGTATAAGTGAGAAAGACGAGGGTGGCGAGCGAGATCTGGAAGAGGGGAGAGAGGGGAACAAAAATATATGTATTTATACAATTTTCTCTGCTTTATACAATTAGAAACATTTTTTTATAAACTTGTGTGTGTATAAAAAGTGAGGAACCGAGCAAGAGATTGGAGGAGAGGGGCGAGCGAGATATTTGGGAGAGAGGCGCCTGACAATTTTTTGTAAACGTTTGCTATGGAGCACAATTAAAATCAAATCCTAGCTGCTCTATTTATTTTAGGTTATTAATTTGCTATTATATACCATTTTTCCTTTATTGAATGGCAAAACTATAAATAAAACAAGACCATTTATTGAATAACTGTCTAAAAAGGAATAATTGTAAAATATTGCACTTTAACTCTCTTTTGATGGGATGATTTGTGGAAAAATGACCTCCATAAAAAGTGGTCTTGAATTTTTTATTTTCTTTATTTCTATTTTAAAAAATTATTGTTAATCATCAAACATAAGTTGTTGAGCATAAATTAATCTTGTTTATAAGGTAAAAAAATTCATATAGTGATTAACCCATTCAATCGTCCCTAAATTTTACTTTCACCGTTCATTTTTATTTGTCATGTTGCGCTTTTCGAAATTCAATTTAATAAATTTTCAAAGATAAATTAGATTATATTAATTCAATATTTTCAACAGAAAAATTAGATATTTAAAAACTATATAAAAAGTACTATAAATTGCAATTTTTTGCATATAATTGTGATAAAAAATACTTCTTAAAATGTTAATCAAAATTCTTAAAATTTAACTCTATAAATAAAAAACATAACAAATAATACAGGACGGAGGGAGTACAAAATATTTGAATTACAAATTTGGGCCTTTCACAAGGAAATATTGGCCCAATGGCTGAAAACATTGTCTTACCATTATTTCAAGTTAAATTTTGGGACAAATTTTATAGGCGGAATCATGCAAATATCGCATAAAATAAAATAATTATAAATATACATCCCTTTACAAGCAAACTCCATTAAATGATAATATTATATACTCCTCTAACTAATTTCGTTTAACGATAGTAAATCAGTATCATATAATGTATTGCTATTATTAAGACTAATAAGCTTGCTTAACTGATATTAAATCAATACCATATACTATATTGGTATCACTAAAAATGATAATTTCATTTAATTGATACTAAATTTTATATATATATATTATATATATATATATAGAGAGAGAGAGAGAGAGATATACACACACATACACACTCTCTCTTACAATAACATTGACTTATGAGTAATTTCTAAATAAAAAAATCTTACTGATAGCACAAGAATATACCTACACTCTTATAGTATCATTGACAAATGAATAATT